GTTCCACCGCACGTGCTTTTATAGCTTCCTGGTCTCTACGTCACCCGCCTGTGACGTCTCGCCCTTCCATTGGACTGATTTTACATGTGATTCGGAGCGTGGTCACGCTGAAGGTGTTCCGACGCAGCTCGAGTTCCTGAAGGGGAACTACTAATAACCCAACAACTTCATAGCAACACCTAGCAAAATCCAAACACCTAGAAACACACTAGCAACTGCCTAGTAGTAACACCATAACAAAAACATAGCAACCCCCTTGGACAAACCTAGAAACACATAACAACAGGCTAACAACTTATTAGCATAGCAAAACCTTGGCAACCACCTAATGAAACTACTTAGCAACCATCTAGCTACATCCTGGCAACCACCCCATATATAAAGCAACCACCCTATATATCGCAATGCTGACTTTTTTTCCTCATAATTGCGAGTTTATATATTTTTATAAAAAAGTCAGGACTGCAAGATGTAAACTCGCAATTGTGAGAAAAAAGTGAGGATTGTGAGATAAAAAGTGGTATGTAATTGCCTTGATGTGTTTTATGTTAACATGATGGAAAAGTATGAGAAATGTATTACCAGCCACTCAAAGGTTCACTGAGTACAGGCTCACGTGATCTTGATAAGCTTTTTGAAATATTCATTCATGTTGTAAAGACACTGTTCTCCAATTGAAATCTATTGCAGTGAAATGGAAGCGGCTGTTAATATTTAAACCCCCACACTGCACTAAATTAAACAAGCAGGTTAACGTCTTGCAACATTTAAAGTTTTCTCTCATCCTGTAACAACATTCATGTGGAGCCTTGAGGGGATTTATCGAGTGCTGCCATCATTATGGCATGTTACAGACACAAGTACTCACGACACTAACACCTGGCGTGGTTCACTGGTTGATCTGTCACACACTAGTGCTCTGTGCGTTAATGTGCAGCCTCTGACAGCTAAAAGGAATCTAAAAGGCTTCAAGGAAGAGCTTGAACTCCTTAGTCAGCTGTTCTGGACAGTAAATGGCTGACTGCAGAAAAGTGCCGTGCAAAGAGACGGCGGGATTACACGAATGAAAGCTGATTCATCTTAAAAGAATATTGCACCTTAAAATCACCTGCTACTTAACTCACCATTTTTCATGCCACTTCTACTTCTCTCACTAATTTGTAAGTTAACAAGCAAGACATCTAAAGTTCATTTAAATATAAATAAGTAAATAATAATAAAGTAATATAAAAAGTGTGGTGTGGTATATACCCTGTCAGTGGCCATTCCTCATCTTGAAGGGGTAGTTCAGCCAATATTATAGATCACTGCATTGATGACATATTTTGGTGGGTCAACCCGGAAGTTTGCATCATCCTGGTTCCTCTACAAAAACTTAATAGGATTTTAACATTGGTTTTTGGAATATTAGAGAAAATGAGCTCTGTGACCACCATTAATATCCACATGAAATCAAATTACGTTGTAAGCGCATATTGCTAGTCTAGTTAATACACAGACAAAAAATGTAAAAAAATGTAAAAATAAATAAATTTCCTTGTTAATAATCAAAATCAGAAAATGTGTCTCTGCTCTGTAATGGCGTTTATTCTCTGATGACTCAATGATCATCATATTGATGATTCAATATTCCCTTTCAGTTGAAAATATGTCACAATAGTGAAACAAAGTTGGTAGCAACTTCCAATTCACGTTGACTTTAAGCTTCCAACAACTCTTTCAGGCTTTATTTAAAAAAATATATATATATTTTAGAATTTAGAATAGCTTGCAAGAGCGTGATTATAAACACAATAAGCTGTAAAAGCGACTAGTTAGAAGATGAGTTTACTTATCCGTTGTGTTGAACAAACTCTGTAGTCCCATTTAGCCACTTATTTAACCAAAAAACAATTAAAAAACCCATTGACTTCATAATGATGGAACCGGAAGTGTTAAAATGCGAACTCATTTTCAGCCTTTGCCTACAAAATATACCTGCAGCACAATATTATTTACTCCCCTTTCTGTCATTCTATTTTTTACATAGTTTTTTTCTGTGGCACACAAAAGCGAAAACATCTTTCAGAGCTGGTGAAATCCAGCCGTTTCAAGAGGAATCCATGTGATCTGGAACTTCGTCGAAAGATTTCCTTACACAGATTTCACATACGGATCAGTTGGTTTTAACCAACAGAAAGCTGCTTGGTTTGAAAGTGACTTTGCATGTTTGCGTTGCATGGAAAAAAATAAAAGCATACGGGTTTGGAACGACACATGAGGGTGAGTAAATAATGACAGAACTATCTGTCTCAGGTGAAATAGTCCTTTACATTTAGTATAATGAATGATTTGTGCAATAAAGATCTATTAAAGCTGCTTTGCTTATCACTGATTATTGCACCTTTGCAGGATGAAGTCATGATGTCTAGATGGTAACCATCATTCTGTTACATTCAGATACTGTTTACTTGGAGTCCTACAACAACATCAGCCAACACTTAACCTTTAGCAGCAGCACATGCAAATCTACAGAATGAGGTTTGTCATCTAAACACCACATCATGATCATCTTGATTTAGGCAGATAAATATAGTAGGTGTCTAAACATTTGCAGTCTGTGACTCAAAGTCTAATTTAAACATGGAAAATTTTACAAAGCATTATAATGTAAGATTAAAAAGATATATAGAAGGTTAAGTCACTATTAGGTCAAGTAAGCAAATTTGTAGCAAATACGTATGAGATGCTCGTTTGAACATGATGACATCAATCATCAGATTCTATGCAAACTTGGATATCAAATGAGAAATTATGAAATAAATTTAGGCATTTCACTCACAATGCCATGCTGATAATATCACTTGTAATAAAATTGTTTATCAAATGAAAAAAACAAGCTAAATTTCCACTAGTGTTCCCAGATTCTGGATTCCATTGTGTGTAGATGAAAATATATGTTGTGTTACACATCATGATGCATCTGCCAAAAAAGAAGGAAAAAGCTCTGACATCACAATGCAGAAAACTAAATTTCTCAATAGGAATGTGCAACATCAGAGAGATCATTATTTCATGTGAACGTGGGGATGTTAGAGTGAACGCTGCTAGTTACGAGTTAAATCTTACACTCTCAGAAAAAAAAGGTACAAAAGCTGTCACTGGGGTGGTACCATTTCAAAAGGAACTAATAAGTAAAAATGTTGTATTAATATGTGCATTTAAGGTACTAATATGCATCCTTTTCGGGTAAATAAGGTACAAAAGTATAACTTTTGGAAAAGGTACCGCCCCAGTGATGGCTTTTTTTCTCAAAGTGTAGTGTGTGAAGCTGTTGTGAATCTGATCCCAAGCCAGTTGCTCACTGTTTGCTCACATTTTAGTGAATTTTCTTTTTCGTTGGCACACTTTTACCTTCTGCAGATCAGCCAGTGCAGAAAAGATGCTAAAAGCATCAAGGAAATTATTTGTAGGCCTCAACATCTACTAAATGATTTACAATGCAACCCGGCGGTAAAAACTCATACACTTGCACATTACTGAAACATGTTTGATAAAATGTTTTTTATTGATATTAAAAATGAAAGTACATGAATTGTGCATTTCGGACGTTCTAGCGTGCAGAGGTTAAATCAATTAAAATACACACAGGCTGCGTGGGCTCCTGATATTAAACCATTGCCAATGAAAGACAAATGATCTCTTCATTTTTAGCGCAAAAGCATGTGTTTTCCTTACATGCCTTTTTATGCACGGAAAGTTAAGTAACCATTTTGGAAATAACAACAATGGATGCAGTCCTTGCAGGAATAACAACAGAAAAATGGCGATGTCTTCGGAAATATGGGATGTTTGAATAATAAAAATAATGATAGTAATTATAATAATTGCACTGCTTCATCACAACTGATATGAATCAGATAAATACTGGATTATCAAGGCAGAGGGATACACTGCAGGCACTTAGACCTTTAAGCTTCCAGGTACTAAGCGATACTATAGTATCATTTAATGACCTTAAAGATGGGGCACATGCAAGAAACGATACTGACTTCTTGTGCTTGGCTGAGAAACTGCAAAAAAAAAATGGCCTTGTATTGGGTTTTTCACATAAATCCACTAATATTTCCTCAGTATTTGGGTAACTAAGTACGGTAGCCCTTCGACAACTGAGATAAAGATACATGGAGGGCACCCCAACTGAAAGGAAATAAGAGGATTTAGGGCACATTATTGTAAGATGGCGAGATCGAGGGGATGTATAAACAGCCCGCTCTTTGTCACATCATAATGGATCTTGGTGACATCATATTGGTTTGGTTTTTACTTTGCTTTCTTTTGTGGAATACCTTAGAGAAGCCAAAAAATGACGATACGACAATGAAAACGGCACTAAAGTGGTTTAAACTGTAGTGGGTTGTATACAATCATGACATGTAGAGACCGGGTTATCCAGATCCTCGTGAGGAAAGTTAAACACAAGGTTTTTTTGTAGTTGTTTTAGTTTTTTTATAAACAGAAATCCATTTGGCAGATTAAAAAGCCATGCGGGAGGAAGAGAAAGAGAGAGAGTCTTCTGAGTATGTGCCTATTTTTGCATTACAACATGCCTACGCTATCCAGGCTACAGCTGCTGTTAAAATATTGATTTTAAAATAGCTCTGTGGTGAACCGAAAGCGAAAAAATGATTTTTTTTTTTTTTTTGGTACAAAGC